TCTTTCTCTCTCTCTCTTGCTTGTAGAAGAGATAAATAGATAAACCTAAAGATAAGTTCTTGGGGCTGTCAGATGGTGTGGTGGTTAAGGACTCCCACATGGCTGATTGTAGTTAGAGTCCTGGACCTGGCGGCTTGCTTTCTCACTTTCTCTCTCTCTCTTTCTCTCTCTCTCTCTCACTCTGTTCCTCTCTGGTCAAATAAATAAATAAATAAAGCTAAATAAAATAATTCTTAAAAAAAGAAAAGTTATTTAATGATATCTTCTAGTAAGATTAAAGAAATAACATGAGACTCTTAGCTGGAGCCAAAAGATCCTTCTGATTTAGGTATAAATGGAAAGACCCTCTCTCCTCCATCACGAACTCTCAGTGTGGTAGAGTCCCTTGGAGGCAAAGAGAAATCTAGAGAGAACCAAGATCTCCCCCTGAATCAATCAGAAGCCCTTGGAGGAGCCCTAGAACCACCTGTCTCTAATTAATCTCCTCCACTGTATTCCCTCAGCACTCACACACTCGTAATTATATTTATGATTGTAATTGTATTATATTACAGTTCAGATCCCCTTATAATAAATACCATCATAATGAAAATCTTACTGTTATATAACAATTTCCCAACAATTTACTCAGTTTGAGTATATTCAACATGATAAAGTTCTAATGAAATAAACAAATTTGGATGTTTGTTGAATCTATTGGAAAGGAATTTGACCTTGTAACTATATTCTTTGTCCCGTGAGAGTGCATGGACGTTTCTATTGGATCATAAGATCCTTAACAAAATAGTCCCAAATACAATTTCATATAGAGTACATGTTTTAAAAACCCCAGCACAAGTGAGCGATTTGCAGAATTGGAAGTGAAATGGAAACCAGTTCCCCTAGTATATAACAAAGGTGCCACTAGAATTATTAAACTGCAATTAGAGAGACCAGCAGTTAGCATAATGGCTATGTCACTGAACTCCCATGTAGTAGACCGTGGTTCGAGTCCTGGACCTGGTGGCTTAAACTCACACTGGGCACGTGTGCATGTATGCATGCCCAAGATCCCGAGAGGAGAATGGAGGAGAAGGGGTTGTGGTGGGGCCATAGCTCCTGGGGGGTGATTTCTCGCTTTCTGTCTCTCTCTGTCTTTCCGGCAAACACACGTGCCCTATAGCAAAAACCTCGCCAAAAAAAAAAAAAAAAAAAAAAGACTGCAATTAGAATGGACTTCACTTTTCATCACAATTTTTATCCTTCTTAGAATGAATTAACTATGGAACAGTAGCCCTGATGTGAAGTCTGCTAGACATGTTTACTCATCACTGATGCTGCCTACAAAAAACAACCAACTTAATGTCAACCAGTAACAGAAGGACTATTTGTGCCAACATAATTCTGTCTGCACGGGAATTAACTGGCTAGTACTCTTCTGATCTGGGATAGTCGTTTCCCTAAGCTGTAATTATAACATTGATATAAATCTTCATAGTGGAAAACAATTCTGTATGGACACCATTGGTCCAAGTATTATCTTTATATACAAACCATGGCATATATCTGTCTACTCTTTTGAAAATCCACACTTTAAAAAGATAGCATCATTGTGGCTGCCCTGAAAGTAAAACATTTTAAATTCAAAAAGATTAATATGATAAGCAAAAACTAATTAGTTCTTACCAAATGTGAGCAGGGTCTCAAACAAGGAAGCAACATTAGTATTAATACTTCTACCTCTACTTGATAAGAGCAATAATAGATGGTAATGAAGTTGAGGGGCTTGAATCTGAGCCCATAGAAGGATATTTTCCTGGGTATATGCTGTAAATAGAAAGAGAGTAATTTAATGTATGAGAAGAAAATAATTAAGCATGTAAAGGCTCTACATATTTCACAATCTCTTCTATCATTGTTGGAAGTAGAAGAGAAAACACCTAAATAAAAAGGAACATGTTTGTAATTCATATTAATGAACTTACTTCGATATGCAAACTAAAGTGGCCTGAAGAGCTAAGCACTGCAATCAGAATTCCGGGTTTTTTTACAGCAGTGATTTATGGAAAGTAGGTAGATATTAAGTAAAACATTTTGTTCTGTTATCAGGAATATGAATTTGGAAAAGGATCTATAAGTTCAGTGGTGATAATTGTACAACTTTGAAAACATATCAATTACTGACTAATTGTACACGTAAAATGGGTGTCCTGTGGTGTGGGAATTATATTTTAAAACAAAGGTGCATGTGGGGGAATCACCAGGTCTTTTACATCTAGGTCCCAAGCCATGTATGGGCAAGGATGGTCCCCTGTCCCACAGATGGCAGGGAAGGAGGCCTGGCTGCTCTTTGGGTCCTAAAAACCAATCGATCGACAAACCAACAAACGAGGGGATAAACTTGTCATTTGTGTGAGTTCATGTATCTGCTGCACTCAGACCCTTGGTACTGTACCTAAAAAACAACCCATCTCCCGGGTGGTGAGGGCAAATACAACCCTTGAGTCGGTGGCAGCCATCAAGCCAACAACCAGGCCTGCAAACAGCAGAGTGACCTGATGGAGGATTTTGGGTTCTAGCAAATGACACGTTACTAAAGAGCAGCCTGGTTCTGGGCATGAAACAGAGCCAAGTGGACATCTGATTCTGATAGACTCATTTTATAGATGGCAGTTGGAGCCAGTGAACCCTACTCCCTAATCATTGCCACCAGAATCAATGATCAACCTCACAGGCAAACATTTTATTCAAAAGGCTCAGTGTACGATGCCACAGAAGGAAGAGGAAGTATTTGTAAAAAAAAAAACCATGCCAGAATTGAGAAACCTAAGGTACTATTTTAACCCATGGCACACTTCATATTTTAATGTGGTAACAATAGAAAAGCAGAATTCACTATGAATTCTTCCAGCTATTCTTTCTTTTTTCATTAATAATTTTATTAATATGGCAATATTAATATTTTCAGTATATGACTACAAGGTGTAATGATTAAATCCATGTACTTAGTATATCTGTGGTCTCAACCATTTGAAACTTTATATATAGTAAGTTGTTAACCACGTTCTCCCCTCTGTATTTTATAATGCTAGCTCTGTTCCTTTTACCTACCTGCAATTCGTTTCTCAACATCCCTCTATTCTCCTCCCTCCACAGTTATTCTCAGTGCCCCGTTCATCCATGTCTCTATTTTTACGAGATTATTTTTTTCTGATTTCCATATATGAGGGAGACCATGTGGTATTTCTTTCTGTAGCTGGCTTATTCCTCTGCACATAATATCCTTCAGGCTCATCCATTTAGCTTCAAATGACTTATTTGTCCTTTTAATTGGCTGCATAGTATTCCTCTCTCTCTCTCTCTCTCTCTCTGTGTGTGTGTGTTTGTGTGTGTGTACGTGTTTACTCAAGGTAACACACACAATGGAATATTTTATATATACACACCACATTGTCTTTACCTATTTATCTATTAATAGATGCTTAGGTTTCTTTCATATCTTGGCCATTGTGACTAGTGCTACAATAAGCATGAGAGTACGATATCTTTACAAGACACTGATTTCCTTCCTTCTAGATATATGCCTACTAGAGGGATTGTTGGATCATATGGCAGTTCTCTTTTCAGTTTGTTAAGGGATCTCCATATGGTTTTCCATAATGGCTACACTAATTTACATCCCACCAACAAAGCAAAAGCGAAGTCCTCTCTACATCCTTGCCCAACTACTCTTTCTTGAATACTTGGCAGGTCCCTGCAGATATTTACCAATGTAGTTCTTAACAACTCTGCAAGATAGGTATTATCATCCTCATCTTACAGAAGCTGTGGGAAGTCTCAGCTCACACAACCAGTGAGTGGTGGAGCTGGATTCAAAGCCAGTGCTGCCCTGTGCCATCGTGCCCTGTGTCATCGTGCCCTGTACCATCATGCTGTATCCTTCCCTCACAGTAATCTACCTTCCCACAGTTCAAAACAAGGATGTTGAGGGAAGCACTCAGAACTGCTTAATCAATACTGGCCCGCAGGTAGAAGAGAATGGAAAATAATACAATAGGACAGAATTGTGCATGTCTAAGAAAAATAAATAATCTAAGGCTAGACCTATATTCTTCAATGATGATGATGATGTTCTCAGATACAGGAAAGCTATGGGGGTTAATATTAAAATGCAATTATGGGGGACCATTAGTTGGTGTAATGGCTGTGTTGCTGGACTCCTATGGTTCGAGTCCAGACCCGGACTCCTGAACGTCAAATAAAAAAACCAAGAATACAAAAATTAAATGAAAATACTTGGAGATATCTCCTTTGTCCAGAGATAATGCAGTTTTCTGTGCTAAAGTCTGTTAAATTTTCCAACATTGAAAGAAGTGGTAACATTTTAAAGATGAAAAGAATTTGTTCCTGTCTCAAGAAAAGAGCAATCTGGGACCAGCAGTTAGCGTAATGGTTATGTCACTGGACTCCCATGTAGTCGACCGCAGTTCGCGTCTCGGACCCAGTGGCTTAAAACTCACGCTGGGCACGTGTGCGTGTGTGCCCAAGATCCCGAGAGGAGAATGGAGGAGAAGGGATTGCAGCGTGGCCATCCCCCCTGGAGGTGGTGATTTCTCACTTTCTGTCTCTCTGTCTCTCTCTGTCTTTCTGGCAAGCGCATGTGCCCTATAGCAAAAACCTCTCAAAAAAAAAAAAAAATGCAATTGTGGGTCAGCTCCCTGGTGCAGCAGTAATGCACTGCCCAGGAGAACTAGGCTCTCACATGGCAAATTCGATTCAAATTCCTGGCCTGGTCAGCCTGATACATGCCGGGCACATGCATTAGTGTCCAAGATCTGATGGGCTGGAGGACTTGTGGAAGAGGATTGAGGCCTGACCAGACCCTGTGGTGGGTGCTTCTCTTCTCTCGCTCACTCATGTATGCACATGTCTATCATAAATAAAGAAAAAAAGTAAAGAAATTATTGAATTACTGGTGAAATTATAGGTTTACTAAGTATAAATTCTAATTTCTACACCAGTTTTTTACTTGTATTTCTGTACTTCAACCATGCTCCAAAGCTGACATCAAATATCTATCCCAAAGAAAGGAAGGAAGAGCCCTAAGATCGACAAGAAGAGGGACTGCAGCAACAGAAAGTAAATATAAGCACTAGAGACACACTTAGGTTCAAATCCCTGCTCTGCTGCATTGTAGCTGCATGACTTCTGGCAAGGTAGGTAGCCTTTCTGAACCTCTGCTTTCTTGCTAGTAAAATGGAAATGATAGTTGCTAGTATGCAATTCATGGGATTATTATTTTTTTTTCAGTTTTGCCATAGGAAGTGTGCACTCACTAGAGAGACAGACAGAGAGAGGGAACATGAGAAAGCACCCCTCCAGGGGGTGTGGTCACACCACAATTCCTTATCCTCCATTATCTCAGGATTTGGGGGGATGGACACACACACACACACACACACACACACACACACACGTCAAAGGGCCAATCCAGGACTCCAACTGCACAGTCAGCCATGTGGGATCCAGTCGCCTTAGCCCCCGTGCCACCGGCTGGCCCTTATTTGGTATTTTTAACATTTCTGTGTTGGCAAAGTAGAATTTGACATTCATTTCTATCAAAATTATTCTCCTTTTCTACATGCCCACATTCCTTTCACTAGATTCAATTTTCGTAATTATATTACACTCATTAGAGGAGGGAGCCTATTTTTCCCTTGAAAAAAGAACTAAATTAATGATCATGCAAACTTTATTCTCCAATATTTTGTAGGATTTTTGTGGACCATATAGGAAATAACACCCAAATTAGTTTAAGCACTTACATTATTATTGTAATTTGGTGACTTTCCGTGAAGTTGAAAAAGTTTTAATAATTTTTTCCAAGGAAGTTATTATCTGGCCTCTAAAATTTCTTCAGACTCATATCCTTGACAAGAAAACAAGCTGTCATGAGTTTCAGATAAATAATACAAACGCTTGGGAATGGGGCTTTAGTAATACTGTTTTCAAGGCTCTCAAAAATAAAATGATGCACACTGGAATAAAACCAACATACTGAGAAGGCAAGGTATTTGCACTGCTGAGGAGCTCTTTGCTACCCACACCACTTGTTCTAGAAGGCGTTCCTTGATCAGCCCAATCACAGGAAGGCACCTAGCTTTTATAACACTTTATGTGCAACCCAAACACATATGCCTTGGTTTGGTTTATATTGCATATAATAGATTTTTATTTCCCAAAACAATCGAAATCTAAATATGTTGCTAGCCTACTCAGGATCTTACTCGTGGACTTTGGCACAAAACCCCGACTCTTCCACTTGGTCCTCCAATCCATTTATAATGGGGTGTGCTTCCTTCTCCAGCCTTGTCTTTCCCACTCTTCCACTCCTGGCCCTTTGCTTGCTGTGGCCACAGTAAACTTTTACATCTGGGATGGGCTATCCTTCCTCTCCCCTCTGGGTCTTTGCACCTAGTGTTCTAGGCCTTTCTCCCTCAAAACTGGGTGGAATGACTTGTTAAAATGTTCTCTTAACAACCAGTATCTATATGCCCATATCACACTGAAAACTGAGTTGAAATGCTCATCTTTGCACCCTTCATCCTCACTAGAGGGTAAGCCGGTTGAGGACAGGCTCTGGGTCTTGCTCACTCCTGTGGTCTCAGCTTCTAGCCCATTGTTTGGTATATAAAAGACCCTTAGTAATTTTCTGTTCAATGGGTGAGTCTGAATCTATCTACTTAAATTCAATAAGAATATTACCTTTCAAATAATAAAGCGTATGTAACATACGGAGAAAGCACTATCTTCTTGCCAGCTGGTGTGAGAATTCCTTTGTAGGAAGAGACTTGTTTTGCTATATATAAACAGATTCTGATAAGCTTGCTATGAGGTAGGAGCAAGCTTCCTGCTGGGGTCCAGGCTTTGTGTGGAAGAAGATTCTGCCTAATAAAGAAGGAAGAGCTGGCAGGTGCAAGCCCAGGGCTCCCTGCAGAGGGGATCAAAGAAAAGAAGATTTTAGCTGATAGCCCACCTAAAAAGGGACTTTGGGGAAAAAATGCACAATGGGGGCTTTACTAAGTTGTTTCCTATATGATATGTGATGAAACCCCTTCCTCTATCCATCCTACCAAACCTTTAGAAAGAGTACTTTGATAATTAATGCTTTTGAGTAAAAAGTTTTGTGATTTGGGAAACTCAATGAGGACAATGGGCAAATCAATATATAGATATTACACATTCCTTTCTTTCTTTTTAAAGAGGTTTTTGCCTTAAGGCATGTACACTCGCTGGAGAAAGAGACAGAGACAGTAAGAGGGAAAGTAGAAAATCACTTCCTGAGGGGATAGCCATGCCACAATCCCTTGTCCTCCATTTTCCTTCCAGGATCTTGGGCACGTATGGCACACATTTCCAGCATGATTTTCAAGCCACCAGGTCTGGGACTTGAACTGTGATCGGCCATGTGGGAGTCCAGTGACATAATTGCTATGCCATCTGCTGGCCTCACACATTTCTTAAAGTACACGTCTTTCTGAGTATCTCTATAAACATAAACAAGTCAGGCTCCCAAGAGCCTGTAATGTAAAGCACTCAGAAGTCTTAGGTCATATGGATTTACTCTACTTCCTTGAGGGACAGAATTCAGCAAGGATCAGTTAGCTCACTTGGTTACATCTCAGGAGAGATAAATCCAGCCCAGCCTGTCCAACAAAGCTGAAAGTGAAATCTTTATAATCTTGAATTCTAAACCTAGCTCTTTCTTAGCTTTGTCATTTCATGCAATCAATTAATGAATCAATAACTTAAAATTAGACTCCATGAATGGAAAATGTGTGTGAGTGATAATTGGAGGTAAGATTGTTATTCATGACTCCACCTATCTCTCTCCTTTAAAATTTTTTTTTCTTCACTCATAGTGATAGAAGGCTTGCATATGCACATTAGAGTGAGAAAGAAATAGAGAGAGATTCTCATCAGGGTCAGGTCACACCATAATCCATTTTCTCCAGTCCTCGAGCCCATTGGATCCTGGGTACATGCACTTCAAGCTAATCAGGCCAAGGATTTGAATCACAGTTGCCAAGTGGGATCCAACTCTCTTGAGCAGCACATTATCACTGCACCATGGAGCCAACTCTCTGTTTTCTAATAGTTTCTTTGACGAGCTATTTTGTGCTGAGCACCTGCGCATGGGTACATGTGTTTGAGGATGCTGGAGAAGTTTGGTCAAATGACAATGCACAAAGCAATTGTAAGAGATTAGCAGAGTCTTAAAAAATGGAACCTAAGAGGATGAATGTTACCCTACAAGGAGAGAGGAAAAACAGAAAAGAAGCTCTGTTTTGACATGGGTCAAGTGGCATGCCAAGGAGACTTGGGAAGAGAGGTTCCATTGAATAGAAGGTTCCTGAGAGTGTATCATATAGGGAGTGCAGTGTAAAATCTCCCTTCCTAAAACTTCAGTGTACTTTAGATTTATACCAGTTGCAGAGATTTGATGGAGTAATTATTTGTTAAAAACTTCCTAACTGATAGTGATAGACTATATGCTTAAGATCATCTTGAAATCTGCCCCCAGAATTTTCATTCATTTCGCATAGTACCTGGGAAACAAGAAGAGGTAATGAAGGAGAGGTAGCACTTCTTCCTGAATTATTTGGAATCTTTTATGTTAAGGTGAGAGAAGATAATCTAGACTATTTTTTTTTCTTTTGCCCACTGATCTTCTTGAGTCAGAAGAAATCAAGCTGGGTGAGTCTAGACTGCAATGGATTATCTGGATCCAAAGCCGAATGAGTTCAAATTCAGAGCATCCCAAGGCCGGTAAGTGAGTAAACAGATCACAGGAGATCTGAAATTCTCTGACCCTCTGTGGCTGCTAATTTTATTGGCACCACTCAGAAAGGAACAAATTGATCTAGTTTGCATACTTTTATGTATATGACTTTAGTGACTAACACTGTTCAGAAAGTAACTGAAATTTAGGCATACCCAAAATATTTTATTTTTCAAGAAAAGATAGGATTTTAACAGGATAAAAAAGACTTACAAGTGGAGAAATAGTATAAAAGCCTAGTTCAGTGTTGGAACCAGGTGACGATTTATTTATGAAAAAAACCCTAAAATGTAAATAGCTTTGTAATTCATTACTGTTGGGACTAGTGGTATTCAAGATCATTTCATTCATAAAGGAAAGGGACATCAAGCATCCAGGATAAAAATGAAATATGACTCACTAAAATACTGGTTTAATGAAAGATTATTTGTTTTTATTTGAAAATCTTAAAAGTGCATTATAATATTACCTCAAATAAACATGGATATTAACCTGTGGCTGTGAAGTGATTTTTAATCATGAGAAGAGCCATAATATCAAAGAAAATTTTCTAATACAAATAAGAATGTTTAGAGAGACTAAACAAAAGGTGAGCCTGCTTCACTGAAATTGGCCAAAGGAAGATGCAAATTAAGAATTTACCCCAAATAGAGCAGGAACCCATGTTATTAGGAGTAAAGCAACATAAAGGCTTCAGCCACCCGAAGTTGCACACCAGTGATTTAATTGGAAAGGTCTTTTCTTATACACAGAATTAATTCCAATTAATGGAAAATTCAAATTATGTTTATAAACACTAACAAAATGCTATCATTCCATAGCATATTACTTGCACAGCACCTATCCTATAAGGCAGTTTATGAAAGACAAAGCTTCATTAATTTTGCTAATTCTCCATTTTATAGATGAAGAAACTGAAGCATAAAGCATTTAGAAGACAAGTGATTGCAAGTTTCCAGAAAAGCTGAAGAATTTCCTTTTACTAAGTTAGTCCTTTGTTCATGATATTCCTCAAAGGAAAAAATAAATAAATCAGTTAAAAGCAAGCCCTCTGTAGCACAAAATAAAAAAGGAAAAGTTGTATAAGGGCCTAGAGTAGCAGCCCAGAAGAGAGGTGGAATTGCAAGGAAAGGATAAATATTTGAAAACTGCAAAGACTTAAATTCCCTTCCGTCTGACCCTTCTAATAAGGCATGAACTGCAGGTTCTGCCTCATTTGTAAGAAGAGCCTCCTGATACAAAGCTCTTAGGTTTGTAGCTCCTAACATCCTCTTCTTTAGTGCTTTGTAGACATTTAGTATCCTTGGAGCAAGGAAAGTTCATGCCATTGTTGACACCACCAGCCATAATGTGACCTGCCAAAGCGGGGTTTCTTTATGGAGGCCTGCCCCTGAGTTATAGGGCCAGGTCAACCCCCGACCTGCACCTGGACTGAGATCTCAATTATAAAAAGCCTGTAGCCCAGCAGGTAGGAGCAAAAGGCTGTCTGACCAACCCTCAGAGAAATACACCTGCTAAGATGCTCTGTGCACAACTGAGAAGCCACTGTTGTAAGAGCTTATCTTTGGCTCTGTGTGTGTGTGTGTGTGTGTGTGTGTGTGTGTGCGCAGGTGTATAGAAAAAGCAAGCACAAAAGATTTCTGTTATTGCTACCTGCCTTTGAGAGAGGCTCCTGTAGTCACCCAGCAGAGTCTAGAATGGGAGAAGAGCCACAGAAGATACAACTGGGGAGGGAGGAAGGACCAGCACTAATGTAGAGCTCAGATTTCAATCAGAGGGCATTTGGAAGCTGGCAAAGGGTTTTAGCAATGAAATGTACTTTAGAACCATTATTTTGGCTGGCTGCAACATGGATTGAAATGAGCAAGAACTGCCTTGTTCATCGTTTTCTCAGTGTCCGGTGCTATGTAGGTGCTCAATAAATAACTACTGACTGGATGAGTGAATGAATGGATGATTTATTGATTTAGTTGGGGAGAAAGAAGAGCTGGCAAAGAGCTCCTTCTGTGGCAGGTTACCAGTGGTACCTTAATCATGAGACAAATGTGATCTTTTTTTCTCTTCTTTTTTAATTGCCAAAGAGTGTGTGTGCTCACCAGAAAGCAACGAAGAGACACACAGAGACAGGTGCTCACCAAAGAGAGGCAAAGAGACACATAGAGACAGAGGAAGAAAGCCCCCTTCAATAGGGCACGGTCATACTGCAATCTTTTCTCCGCCATTTCTCTACTCTGTCAGGATTTGAGACACACATGTACACAAGCCTGGTGTGTTTTTCAAGTTTCCAAGACCAGGATTTGAACCATGGGGGAGCCAACTCCTGTAACCACTAAGATATAGGGCTGGCCTAAGTGAGGGTTCTTTTTTATTTTTAAGGATTACTTTATTTAACTTTATTTACTTTATTTATTTATTTTTATTTGACCAGAGAGGGACAGAGTGTGTGTGTGTGTGGGGGGGGGGATGAGAAAGAGAGAGAGAGAAAGTGAGAAAGCAGTCTCCAGTTCTGGGACTCAAACTATGGTCCATCATGTGGGAGTCCAGGGCCCTTAACCACCACATCACCTGCCGGCCCCTAAATGAGATTTCTTAATGTGTGAAAAAAAGGGAGGGAAGTAACATCATCTGCTTCATAGGATGATCATGCCTTTTGGACACTTTCTGGGTAGTAAATAGGCAGGGAAAAGGACAATTAAGTCAAGTATTAACAAATTGTGGCTGACATAATGAAAGAGACGAATGGCCGAGATAGAGAATAACAAAGGAAACTTATCTTAGAGAGCGCTGTTGAGGAAAAACTCCCTGAGAAGGGATTAAGCTGAGCCCCAAATGATGAGCAGGAGCTAACTACGTGAAGAAGCAGGCAAGAGCTTTACAGGAAGAGGAGCAGCTTACGCACAGCCTCTGAGGAAAGAAAAGGCTTGCTCCATTGAGACTTCAAGACTGAGCGGGGCGTGCCTGGACGGTGGTGCAGCGGTGACATCTGACAGTCCTCGAGGCTGACCCACATGGGTAGGTTCTGGTTGGTATCCGGAGCGCTCCCTGCGTACACCTGGAACAGGCGTACTATGATCCAGTGCCCGCAGAGGCTGGGGGTGGTGCATCGCGGTGCCAGGACCGTGTTGGGGTTACTGTTTCTGTCTCTCACACTTATGAAAGGAATAAATAAATAGGCTTAAAAAAAGAAATCCTGGGAGACCAGAGTGACTGGCGTTCAGAGCGTGAGCAAGAAAGTAACAAAGAGGCCGGGACGGGATGGCTCAGGGACGGCAGATCAGGAGCTGGAAGCTTCACCCAGCCCTTTCTTTCCCATTAGGAGGAATAAAAGGAATCTAGGAGAGGTAGCTGAACGGACGAGCGACTGGAAGTATGAGGGACGTTAGACTGAGCTTATTACAAGCCTGCTCCTGAAGGACCACCACTAGAAACACTAGAAGGGAGAAACAGAAAGCGAGAAATTACCCCCCAGGAGGGATGGCCACACCGCAATCCCTTCTCCTCCATTCTCCTCTTGGGATTTGGGGCACACAGTCAGATGCGCCGGCATGAGTTTAAGCTGTGGGTCCAGGACTCAAACCTCAGTTGACTATGTGGGAGTTGAGCGACATAACCATTACGCCATCTGCTGGTCCCAATGAGTGAATGGATTGAAGGTAAAACCTTCCAATAGGTTCAGGGAGCGGCTCCAGGAGTCAGATTCCTGGAAACCCACCCTTTCTCCCAAGAAAAGAATTTGCTTGAGAGAAAAGTAATGTGTTTTGTTTTTCTTCCAACCTTATAGTCCACCTCCAAATTAAAAGTTGACAAGGGGAAAACTGTGAAAGGAATGAATAGAGAATGGGAAAAGCTGCCAAGAAGGTGCAGAGTATAGAGATAAGGAAGTCATTCGGTAAAGGGAGAATTGCCCTCTTTCTTCTACTAGCTCAGTTCTACCACGTCATCCTCATCCCAACATCCGGTGGAAACTGGATTGGAAGTGGGATGAGGTAGCCCAGAGGAAGGCAGTTTTTACCTTATATATACAATATTTAAAACGTGTGTGTGTGTGTGTGTGTATAGTCATTTTTGCTTAGAAAAATACTCCATGACTTTTCCAATGACCCAATATATGAATGATGAATGTGTGTGTGTCTATGTGTTTTCTGGTCATAATGTCAAAGGCATTCCTTATTGCGGGTTGTGATCAAAGAACTTTGGAAAACACTGGTAACTGTGTTTCTAGCTCCTATTCCCACTCAGAAGAAGAAGAAAATGCTAAAATTGTACACTTAACATTCCTCAGCATCTTTAGCTGCAATTTGTCCACTTGGGGAGTTTTCCTGTCCATGCTCTTCTTCCTCTTTTACTTCCTCTTCTTCCCTTCCTGGTGATCCCCCTCCTCTCCTCCGACCAGTCAGCTTCAACCTCAGTGCCTGGTTGTAACGGTATCAGAGCTTCAAGGAGACAAACCAGCCAACCCTAAGCACCTAACTTACCAAGAGGTTATCTGAAACTCAGTTTCCTTGCTGGTCAAATGTGGTAAAGATTGAATAAGCTTACTTTTTAAATGACTGCAACATTTTAGGATAAATATGAAGTCTTTCCCTCTTTGGGCTGTTGCATTGTTGTGAAAGAATTTCTCTAAGCCCGCCCATGGCTCTCTGGGAACTTAGCTGGGAGATGGATGTGTGTGGTACACAGAGACAGCAAAATGAAAACAAATCAATACATCAATGGAGTGGAAGTTATTTATATCATACTCAGTCAAGTGCGTTTTATGGCTCATGGCCAAGGGTCTGAGATCTTTCAACTGATGCATCCCCCCAGGAAACTAGGTCTAACGTATTCAGATGAAAAAAAAAGGGGGGGGCTACTATACTCAGAGCTGCATGGACCCAGGCAGGGCTAACCAACCCTAAGTGAATTAGAGTGGGAGGGAAAATTTCTGTTCCTCAGCCCCACTGCCTGGCCCACAGCCTCGTCCAGGGCCTGGTGACACTTGGTTGTCCTCATGCTCCTTTCACGTCCCCGCACCGGTCACCCCAAGAAGATTCTGATGGCATGCAGGATAATTAACACTTTAACCCAAATCCATTGCCATCTTGCTATGGGGAGAAACATGTTAAACGTATAATTTTAATCTTTTCTTCTGAATAGGAATAGGAAAAGTCATCAGAGTTTTCCAAAGTTCTATTATCACTACCCACAATAAGCAATGCATGTGACATTGTGACCAGAAAACACATTTATATATACGTAAACACATACACATTCATATATATATTGGCCTGTCAGAAAAGTCATAATGCAGTTTTTAAGGAGATTTTTGCTGTAGGGTGCATGCTTTCACTGGAGGGACAGAGAAAGACAGAGAGCAAGAAATCATCAACCAGGGCAATGGTTATGCCACAATCCTTTATCCTCCATTCTCCTCTCAGGATTTTGGGCACACATGCACATGCGCCTGGCATGAGTTTAAACCACTGGGTCCTGAACTTGCATAGAAAATACGTCATGACTTTTCTGATGACCCAGTATATATAAATATATATTATATACATAATATACAAAACATGCACCATATTCAAGGAGGACAGGAGGTAAACACACACACACACACACACACACACACACACACACATCAGGATGTCGGAAAAGTTAGGACATATTTTTCTATGCAAAACTGTGACTTTTCTGACAACCCAATATAAACATACTTTTTGTTAAAGAAATTTCCAACATGAACAAGGGAACCAAGAAAACTTAATCTAATCTCGGGAACCAGCAGTTAGCGTAATGGCTATGTCGCTGGACTCCCACGTGGTCGACCGCGGTTCATGTCCCGGACCCGGTAGCTTAAAACTCACGCTGGGCGTGTGTGCGTGCGTGCCCAAGATCCCGAGAGGAGAATGGAGGAGAAGGGATTGCGGCGTGACCATCCCCCCTGGGGGGTGATTT